TATGCAATTTGGCAGTCCCGTGAAAGTTCAGCTGGTTGCTAATGGTTTGTATACTGAATTTAATTTATTGAAAATTAGAAAAGCAAATGGTGCTGAAATTACCTAAAAAATTAAATTTTTTTTTTATTTTAGTTTTAATTACGTCTTCTTTGGATTATAAAAGGCAAGAATATCTTTACCGTGATATCCGCCTATTTGTTAGAAATAAATTTAAGGATATTACTTGTCCCAAACCAATCTATACTGATAATGAATAAAAATATTTTAGTCAACTGTAAATTTTATTACTTTATTAGTTTTTGTTTGTTTCTATTAAATTCTTTATATTTAATCTTTTAATGATATTAATTATTAAAATATATAATATTAATATAGGATTAAAATCATGGCATTCAATAAAAATGATATTAACATCGAAAATGAGGCAAAAGAATACTCAAATTATCATGGAGGAGTCCTTAAACCAGAAAAAAAGGCCATCTTTGATAGTAATCTTTTAAAACCAAATGGCACTTTGGATAAAACGCTTCTTCAAAATACTACTGAGTTATTGAATAATTGAAAAAAGTCTAAAGACAAGGTAAAAACTGAAACTATGGGTTTAACTACTGAGCGTTCTTCTTTATTTAAATCTTTATTAGTAGAACAAAAAGTTGAATCTATTTCTTATCAGGTAGTTAATAATCTAAATAATAATCAACCGTTATTGATCAATTTGAAGATATTTTTATTTGCTGAATCTAATCCTGAATTTGATCAGAAAATTGAAGATAGAACAATTGCCTTAGGAGAACTTTTGAAAAAAGAAGAAGAAGTAACTAAAGAAATCGAAAAAATTTAGTACTAAAATTTTTAAAAAACAGACTGATTTAAGAAATAGAATTGTTAATAATCTGATACCCGAGTTGAAAGCTGATTTAGAAAATAATGGGGTTGGTTGAAAATTTTTGAATAATATGATTGAGAGTAATGAAGAATACGCAAATCGAATTTACAGTTCTAATATATCAGAAACAACCAAACATTATGGATCATTAATACTGTAATATCAACAAGAAGCTTGTATCAAATGAGCATATTATAACGCTTGACCACAACAGAGTTGGGACTGATAACTCAATCGATTGATAGAGTTTAAGTGTCTTTATTCTTGGAGGCGTGTCAAAAATCGCAAAGTATTCGATTGCGGTTTCTGTAACAAGCGTCAATTCCCTGAACGGTAGCAGTGAGTATTGCCGTTTTTAGTTGTGATAGTCCACTGCTATCAAGAGCGCCACTGGATAATCTACGCATATTTAAATTCAGTTTTACCTGGCAAACAATTGAGAAGTGATTAAATTAAAAAGGTCGATATTAACGTGGTTTGTACAAGTACTAATGTGGGTTGACAAATTCCAAGTCTTTAGAATGTTTAGACAGCCCAACCCATTTATACAGTTTTAATTCAGTATCGTTTTTGTTCTCATTCGCGATCATTCACAGGCAGCGGTTTTTCGTAACACAGATTTGTACTATGAAACTTTATCTGGCAACGGCACTAATACTAAAGCATAGTCGGGCGTCCTTCAGTATTCGTTTTCTTTATATTCACATATTCCCTTTTATGGCCCCCAAAATAGGTTTATTCGACTCGGAGAATGCCAAAATATCTCTCGCTCAGTAACATAAATGTGGCTTTTTCTTGCACGTGTCTCAGATTATATTCAATTTGTGATTATGTAACACTTTGACACAGCATAACTATTACTATTACTTTATATTTAATATTTTCAAAACTGAGACCCCCACCTTCCGTTGTTTGAGTGGCTTTTTCGATTAACACAGCCCAGCAACTTAATATTCCTTGGACACTCCCTCCGCTACTTTTCCTTCTCACAGTTCTGGCGAATTATATTCAATATTCGACAGAGAACGTACTGACATAATAATCTACAATGGCAGAGAAAGATTGTGCATTACTCGACCACTTTGCAATCCTAATTCAACTATTACTTGGGGCGATTGCTTTTAGTACACTGATTGTAAAACGGCAGTTAGAAAGACCACGAAGACCAGTGCGCATATGGTGCGTGTAGAGAGGGAATCGAGTTCGGATGAGCATGAAATGGGAAATGTGTTGAACCCTTGATCTATTTTATAGGGCATTCGATGTAAGCAAACAAGTCGTTGGAGCATTACTGATACATGGTCTCAACGTCCTTGCCTCGCTTATTGCCGGTTCTGTGAGTAAGGATACTAATCCTTGTATTTGGTATGGCATTTTTATTTCATCCGTCTGCCACCGAATTTGTTAATTATTGTGTGAATAATGAACCTAACCTTTACTTTATTTTTTAGGTATTTCCTTAATATCTTTGTAGACTGTACATTGGGTGTATTTATATTATTTCTCGTATTGAAAGTAGTAAATACTTTATTGATTAAACTGGGTGTCAGAGGTAAATATATATATGTCATCCGCTCTAACCTAAATTATTATGTCTTACCATTTCTTGCATTTTGCTTTTCCAAAAACCAATTAATCAGGAATAAAATCTGGTGAATACGGTAATCCACCTCGCTGGACATGGTGGATCAAGCAGACATTGTCTTTTATCTTTTGTCTTGCCGTTATGAAAGTCATTGTACTTCTTATTTTCCGTCTCTGCCCCTTCCTCTTTGATTTTGGTGAATGGATTCTTGGCTGGTCGCTACACGATACTCGTCTTCAAGTTGTTTTCGTTATGCTCATTTTCCCTCTTATTATGAACATTGTTCAATTTTGGCTTGTCGATCAAGTGATAAAGAAACGGTTCGAGGGTGTAAGACTGGATGACTCAGATGCGTATGGGAACGAGAGTGATGCATTCTTGGGACGCAAAAGTATAGATAGTGAGGAATCAGCGAGGAAGAGAAGCACCTCAGTGAGTGAAAATCAGGTGCATGTTGCAATGGAGGCATTGAGAAGTAATGACAACGAGGATGGAATGGGTGAAGTTGAATTAAAGGCGGCCGAGGATAGTGGACGAGACAGTGATGAGAACAAACCATAAGTAAAGAAGCGCAGTACTGTACGCTAATTTGTTTAAAATCCGTTTGGATTTTGTATCTTTTGTATCATATGTTAGATGTTTCATTCCAGCATATACAGATTAGGAATTTCAAATAATAATACAACTGTTTTATCTGTATATTTGTTTTGCAAAAGCATCAACTCGGTTAGCATTGCATGCATAGACTTTCGATCAACTTTTAAAGATAATGTTTAATTGTAAGCTGTTTGCGTGTACCAACCGAGTCAATAAATGAACATTATCATCCATGAACATTGATGATTGTTACTGTATTGTGTGGTGTGTATCTCAATCGTGATGAAACGAATTCACTCACGTCAGACGATCGAGTAAACGGAAAAAGACCACGATGCCGAAAAATGGTAACAAATGAAATGCAGAATACGAAAATAAAAAAAAACCAAATCCCATTGATCGCAAATGGCATTGGGTACAATTTAGTATTTAAGTAAAGCGAATTTTCCCAAAGGAAAAGCGATATAGAATCTTTGAGTTCTCAAAGTGACAACTCTGTTAAAAGGTTACTTTTACTTTGGCAAGATTAAGTATGCGTTAATTTGATTAAACTTGGGCTGTATCACCAACACTATAATAATAAGGTTAAATAAATTATGTGCCAACAAAGCACTTTTTGAACGTCTACAGATTACCACAATGCCAAATTCTGCTTTATAGAATATTTTATTTTCCAATTCGAATCTGAATGTGAGTCCATCGCATATTCGTGGTTTTGAGAGTGTTGGTCACACAACTTTGTCGTACGACAAATGGTAGAACTTAACCATAAAACAATGTCACGACAAGTATTTGCGGATTCATATGATGATTGCCAACTGCCTATCAATTTCAAAATAACGCGTTTGTCTTTTTGGTTGGTGTCTAGTACTAGGAATACACTTGATCTAAACGTTTTTCTATGCTGACCGTTTTGGTTTTAATTCTCGTTACTTTCAATCTCTAGTCGACAAATTTTTATTATGATAATTTTCGTAAACCATTTCCGTCAAATTTATGTTCTAAGGGTATCGTTAAATATTTGGCCACATTTAACAATCTCGCCCATATTTTGAAAATTAAACAAGCGCTATATACTCATAAAAACATGCCATATACTATTCATACTTTATTACAGCGGAAAATAACTGTGCAACAGAGGTTTATGGTCTCAACAATATGTATTAATTGTGCCTCACATACCTTTACTGAATCGCTTACTAGAATTCGGTTTTATGTGTAGTTTAGAATGCTGTACAATTCAACAGCTTGACTATTTTTGTCCTTTTAGTTTGAATGTAGTGAGGCAAACAATCAAAACGCGTTCGATCAAAATACGTAAGGCCAGTCTACGGTGAAAGCAGAAATATTCTTCAAAGTAACATTGTCGCTTTTCTTATTATGTTTCAATCACAATATACAGAAAATTACGTTAGGCTAAGATTATATTAACTTAAACTTATTCCTCAAGTTGTTTAAGCTAATGAATATTCTCCATGTAACAACCGTTAATGTGTTAACGCTCACCGCCTTATGGACTGTTGTCTTGCATAGCGTAATATACTCTGAAGTATGTGTTAACGACTGACATTTAATGTCTCTGATTGCATATTTACTCGTTTTGTAATGTCCTGCAGACGATTATACGAATTAAAGCAGCTATTCTAAAATGGAAATTGGCCTGATTGTTATAATATAATTACACCAAAGATCTCTGTGTATTCTTATTCCGTTGTATGATATATATTGACAGTCAGGGATTTCAAAATGAAGTCGAATACGCCGCCTGTTCAAAGCGTAACTCTATAACGTAGCGACACAGAGAAGCAATATGATAATACGCATTCGCAAAATTGATCTTCTGTTTTTATCTCCAGCCACACCAGCCTCATGTCTTAATATTAGTAGGATTTGAAAAACTTGTGTACCCCATTTTTTGATGTCTTAGTGGTAATGGCTGGCATATTCTCGAAAGAGACAATAAAGGTAAATAATACCTTAATTTGACGGTACTATTACATCTACGGTGTTTCGAGAACTAGTTAATTGACTCTGCTCATCACCAAGACCACAGCCGAGGCGGTTGGGATTACCAATATCAATGACGATGTAGCGACCGCATTGAGTCAGGATTTAGAGTATCGAATACACGAAATACTACAGGTGCTTATATTGTCTGTTAATGCGTTTTGTTTTGTGTGCGTGTGATAGTTCTTTGGGACTTAAAATTTGAGCACTCGTTCAGTTTCATGTAACTCTCCTGATCTAAAATCCCAGGAAGCTATTAAATTCATGCGCCATGCCAAACGAACAAAAATGACTAGCGACGACATAGATCACGCGATGCGAGTTCGTAATGTTGAGGTAGGTATTCTATCGTTAACCGCATGCTTTTCGTCTATTCATTATTGACTTTATATCACACATACATACCACGCACACATAACGTATTCAGCCGTTATATGGATTTAATGGGTCCGATCAATACAAGTTCCAACGACTGACAACAAACTATGCAGATATTTACTATCTAGAAGATGATGAATTGGATTTTGAGAATATAATGAATGTCCCATTACCAAAGGTTCCGCTGGATGTAACTTTTACGGGTTGGTTTATGTATGTAGAGGTTCATACCGTTGTTTTCTGAGGAGGTTGATGCGACTATATGACACTTTATTTCTTTGGTGTCGCAATGAACTTTACTGCCTTTCACAGCTCATTGGCTGGCAATTGAAGGAGTTCAACCGGCGACGCCTCAGAATCCCATCCCAGAAGGTTTGTAACTATGTCATGTCTAATGCTTGAAATGATCTCTATAATTCAATCATGCTGTTTCGCTTTGCAGGTGCGCGTGCAAATACACATACGGCAGATGTCAGGACAGAGCGACCAGCCCCGTCAAACGGAACATCAATGGAAGTTGATGTCCGGCCTCTTGTCAAACACAACCTCTCTCGCGAATTACAAACTTATTACGAGAAAATCACCAAGGCTGTATTGAGTGAAGAAAGTAGATTGCGGGTCACTGCACTCAACAGTCTGAAAGAAGATCCTGCGTTGCATCAATTGTTGCCATATTTTGTTCAATTCATTTGCTCCAAGGTTGCCGAAGGCTATGAAGATATTAATGTCTTGGAGAATGCTATGAATATGACAGATTCGTTATTAAACAACCAGAGTTTATACATGGATCCATACGTAAGTCGATAATTTATTTTTGAAAGTAAATATGCAATATCAACAAACAGTGTGTATTTGATTATTATGTATACGGTTAGAAAGATCGGGGCAACAGGAATAGGGAATTTCGTTCTAATCTTACTATTGCAACGATTTGTGGGCAATCAGTTTTTGTTGATAGTATTCGAACTAACATAATGTCTCACACTTTAATTATTTCCAATCAGCTTCATCAATTAATACCGGCAATCCTTTCTTGTCTGGTAGCTAAAAGCTTGGGTTCTCCAAATGATACAAAACATTGGGATATCCGTGACAGAGCAGCGAACTTGATTCAGTCAATCTGCGTACGATATGGAGTACAATACTACACTCTTCAACCGCGAATCTGTAAAACCCTACTTCGCGCTTTCCTTGATATATCTAAACCGTTCACTACACATTATGGGGCTATTGTGGGGCTAAGTACATTGGGCAGAGAAGTGGTCAAGCTGCTCATTCTACCTAATTTGAAGCCATACAGTATTGTATTAGAACAAGAGTTGGTACATTCGGATGATCTGGTGAAACGGAGTGAAGCTCAGCGATGTTATAACGCGATACTGGTTTGTGATTATGTGCATGAAAGAAGGAGTCACTTCTAATTGGTATGAAATGATATTAACTGCTATTTCTATTCTAGCTTGCACTTATGACGTTAAAGGAGGATGCAGTATCATCAGATGGGAAACAGTTGGACGAGTTACGTGATCCTTTGGAAAAACGCATAGGCCAGCTCTTTGCGAATGAGCTTATCTCGAACGGTCATATCGATGTAACAATGGTAATTCTTAATAGCATGGCAGAAGATTAGAATTTGGTGTATATTTGGACGTTGGTCAAAATAAAGATTTTTGATCAATTTATTGATGTGATAACACGTGATGTCGGTTTACAAGAGTACTAGTGAAATTATCTCACCCACTCTTATGACAAAAAAAATATACCTGTAGAAGACAAACATGACATGATTGTATAATATGCTATTTAAGATTAATTCTTTAATGTGTTTTACTTTGTGTCTCAATGGGGAGATGAAACGCGCAAGAGTCAGACGAAAACATATTTTATCACAAGACTTACTCTTGAAGTTCTCCTTTCTCCAATAAAGCGTTACCATTAATGCCGCTGATTTTGAGGCGGAGTTTGGGGTAAGAGATAGATCTTGGGAATATGGCCGTATACGAGCTTGGAAGGTTTCTGTCTTTGACATTAAAACATAATGTGGCCTGCAAAAGCGGTAACAAATGTGAATATCACGAAAACGCGCGCATCTACTCGAACGGGTGTCGACTGATTGATTTTGAGTTTTTTGGCATTTCCGCAGTATTCAATACAACAAAAATAACATAGTTTTAACCATGAAATGTAACTGAAGCAGAAAACTTTGATTGGAGAAGAGATAGACAACGTCTCTGTCTCAATGATATACATGATATAAATTTGCATGCATCTTGTACGCGAGAAAAACTGTGTTATGCAGGGAAATCGATTTGCAATGTGTCGTACGGTTACATCATAGTGCATTGTGATTCCCATACATTTGTTAGAGTATTGTGAACATTATTATTTGTCCAGCGGTTAAAACAAAGATTGTTAGTAAAAAGATCTCTTGGAGCTAAAAACTATACTGTACAGGTATGAAATGTTGACTTATACATGACGCGCGGATGATATTGAAACAATGTTCGTGCGCGATAAATTGTGTCGTGCGTTAATTATGGTCCAAATCAAATAATCAATTGATTACTTCCTTACGTTGGGACACACGCAGCGTAGTCACATGGATCGATCTTTGTAACAAAAACTGTTCCGTTGACGAATGGTAACCAAAGTTCATCCAGTACGCCCTTATCTTTCGAGTCAAACATCACGGGAGTAGAGATTTTCGAGCCTGTGATCCAAAATGCTTCCGAGGAAGAACAAACTGAATGGAGCGAAATTGCCAGATAAACTCATAATGTACAAGTTTGTAATCTTTATACTGGGGTCTTTAAGTACTTACGATTACACCATCGTATTATTAATGTCGTCTTCGATTTGCCATCGGTTCTTTACTGCTGGATTAGTTTGATGGTCCACTGTGTGTCGCGGTACTGCGTCTTAATGAGTAAACGCGTTTTTGCAACCAAAAAAACAACTATTGCCAAAATACTTACTGGACAAGTTTGTTCCATATAGGAAGAGTCAATAATATACGTTCAGCGTAAATGCAGTATTCGTTTATCAATAAATCTAAGGAACAAATAATTTTTATGAAAACACTACGATGCTCTATGCTGCTTGCGGACCGACGACTAGATAATATTTTAGCGATGCTTACAAATTTATCTAAGCAATATAATATTGTTCTGTTATCCACGTTGACACACATTTACTTAAAACTGTCTACATTTATGAATACGTCACTATCAAGGTAATTGTAAACGCTATTTGTAAACAAAACTGCGGTAGCTTTATATTCATATATTCTTATTGGGGGCTAAGATTAAATGCAGGGGAGTGCAATTGCGGGGGAAAGTTCATTTTTATGCTTATAATGATTTGTCGTTCTCATATATTAATTAATACGATTGGGATATGGCCGATACTGAATGTACTACCAGTAACAATAAATATTAGATTACTTTAAGAGCAATCTGTTTCATTTACGTGCTGTCATGCAATGTTTGTAATCCTTTGATTTTCAACATCGGTCGACTATACATACAAGTCTCTTGGTACCCGTTGTCGTACAATATTGATTGAACCAGTTCCGGTCAACTAACTGACTGACTGACTGACATGAGAACGCTATTCGATCTTTAACTAAACGGTTACATGGCTTTGCTACAATCACTAGAATGGATTCTTTTTCACAATATACTGCAACGAGTTTATTGTCCATAATTAGACTAGTTTCGGCCATTGAGTAACATAATATTGCCATTTTAGCTGACCGTAACAGTGCAAAAAAAGTTATCCAATTGACTCGACAAGTTACCACATGTGTTGAGGCAAAGTTAAACCTGTAATCTCGCTGAAGTGCGGAAAAAAGACGGCGACTTGGCAGGTTACCTGGTAGATAGTACGCGAATAAATTAAAATGACGGTCATTTATAATATTGCGATAAAAGACAGTAGTACAAGATAATCGATAAAAAGGCGTGGGCCCTCCAGAAATTGCGGGCTGTAGCACGTGTATGGAAACCGAGTTAACGTTCGCTTGATTGTTAATCCCGCTCTTCAGTATTGTCTTAGTTTGAATGATGTAAATTTATTCTAACAGTATAATGTTGGTAACTGTACTATGACAAGACTTCTCAGAACGGCAACATGCGCAACGTTGTCGATTGACGATTGGCAACACTTTGATAATCAACGAAAATCTCACGAGAATGCAATACTTCATCGTAACACACGGGGACATCTCAAGAAAAAAAGTTATATTTTGGGATTAACAAACTTTTATTATTTGATCCAACATTAGAATTTCTGCTGAAAAGCGAATGCCAAACTGGCCAGTGAACTTTATTATAATTTATTAACAACAGTCCCCTTCTTGACTATTGCTGATTGCGACCCCAAAATTTCTTTCTCGGGTGGACACGTTATTGGTTTTTTGGATATGGCGTTTTAATTAATTAATTTATATTTGTGTTTGTATGCTTATTAATACTGTGATATGCGAAATGGTGGGCGTCCCGGAAATTTATCAAACGGAAAAACATGTAGCTTCGATATTAGCCTAGGTTTGGCCTTTTCTAACAAGGCGGAATTTGTCTTGTCAAGGCCTCTTTTTTCCCCCCTCGTTTTGCAAAGAGTATGGAAAAACAAAACTTTCTCCTAATCATCGATATCTACAGATTAAGATTGCCATTATTATTATTATTATTTATGTTTATAATTAATTTACGATGACCAATAAGAATTAAAGACATATGCTACGCCTGTAATTCTGTGTCAATGTCGGTTTTACGAACAAAAAAGCCGGTTTCTCGGAAATTGATAGAGAACAAAGCTATCGGTATTTCAAAGTTTACCGTGATATTAATAAGATGAGCCCCACAAATGTAATTGTGCATATTGCTTGCTTATACTCATAGTAGTACAATTGTGACTGCCCCTGAATTTTTTCTACCTTACTTTATCGAATGTATTTGCCATAATAGTATTTGTGGAAGATTCCGCGAATTGCATAAGAACACCTTATGGTCAGTTATTTGAAAACGTAACGTTCCAAACACACATTCAAGAAAAAAAAAGAAAGCGATACCACCGTAAAAGATATGAAGGCGCAAATAAAATGAATGACAATAATAACGTAACTGAATACTTGACAACCTCTTCGCCAACAACATCTCCATCCTTTCTTGTACTATACTGGACAACCATGTATTCCTTCCTCATAAATAGTTTCCGTAAAGTAACCGAGCAACTACAGAACCTGGCCTCCAGCAGCTACACACCGTATATCTTGTCACCGGCTGAAAATAGCAAGGGTAGCAATAGCAATACCGCCTATTCTAACATTAATAATGGCGAAAACGATAGGCGAGCATATGCTGTTGACACACCGCGCCGATCCCCGAGGATCAGGTCAAGGAGACAAGATCAGCAGATTTCGTCCTCTTCAACAGTAACCAGCGTTACAAAACACTCTTCGACTCGTGCGAAAGGTCAGCATAGACAGGCCACTTTGGCTTCCTCCATACCCAGCACGTCGTTTCCTGCATTCGCAAAAACCAAGACATTAATCCTGGACTTGGACGAAACCCTAATACATTCGACAGTGAGAGGTTCAGACAACGCGCATATGCTTGAGGTTATGGTTGATAGTCATGCATGTCTCTATTACGTTCATAAACGACCCCATGTGGACTATTTCTTAATGAAAGTAGGTATTTTATTGCGAATTTAATCCGTTCTGTAGAAATAAACTCGTAGATACGAACCTATGCAGAATAGCTAGTTATTTGTCTCGTTTTGTTTCGGAAAACTCATCATTGGTTTTATTAATTTAGGTCGCTGAATGGTACAAAGTGGTTATCTTTACTGCCTCTATGCCGGAATACGCAGATCCAGTAATCGATTGGTTGGATCCAGACAAAAACTTGATAACAAAACGGTTTTTCCGTCAGGTTAGAAATACTTTATTCAACTTTTGTGAATTACACGGCTACATTAGAACTATTAGCACATATTTCAACTGGTTTTTAAAAGTTTCCTTGCTGCGAAAAAGCTTTTGCTATTTACTTGCAAATGGGACTGACCAAGACCGTTGATCTATAGCGCTATTCAGTTCGTAGACGTAAAATAGTGTTTTATCCGTATATTAACTCGAAAAAACTAAAACCAAACAAATCATGTCTTTATTATTAAAGTCTTGCATACAACGGGGTGGAACATACGTAAAAGATTTGACTTTGGTCGAGAATGATCTTTCGAAAGTGTGTCTTATTGATAACAGTTCGATATCTTATTCACTGCATCAAGGTAACTTGGTCTTAATCATTGATTAGTTTTGTCATATTGTTATATTATTCGAAAGTTATCTATAATCTCTTTGCTATGTGACAGAAAACGGTATACCGATTGAAGGCTGGGTGAGTGACCCAAATGATGAAGCCCTTTTGGATTTGCTTCCGTTTTTGGACGCTCTCCGATTTACAGAAGATGTTAGATCTGTTCTTTCGCTTGCAACATACATATGACAGCAAAGGAGTCAAGAAAGAGTATCTGGAACGATTCCGGACTTCCTTTCCGAGGTTGGCAGTACGTACGTGGGCGTCTGTGGTGTAGTTAGCGGGCACCGCTTCCCGCTCTCGCGGGGCGGTATGTAGTCGACGAAAAACCTCGTCAGCTTCATGAATCATGTCACCAGAATATTACAAGAGGGACACATAATTGGAATTTTACTCAGAGAAACAACGTTTTCGTGTGTTGACCACGTAATGTAAATACAGAAATAGACTTTTTGCGCCGTGTTTTTTTTAACAAGCTGCAGTCTAGTGACATATCATGTTGGGTTTGACATATCATGTTGAGTTTCTCATATAGGAAAAAAGTGATCAGATATTGGTTTCGCTTGTTTGGCCTTTCTTCGTGATTGTCCTAAATATTAATATAACTAGTAAAGGTTAAGTCAGGTTTTCAACCCAAGGTCTCGAAAACGTGTGAAAAGTTTCGTTAATATTAACATTTTTGTCAACGTAAACTTTAAAAAATTCATATCTCCACACGTTTGTGATCGATTTGCGTAATTTTTCCTTTTTGTTCGTCGAATCAGTTCTATGTGCTTTCATACGAGTTGTCAAATTAGAAGCAATAAACGCGGTAACATCGATCTGTGAACGGGGTGACGAATAGTTTAAGAAACATCTTATCATTGTTTTCTTCACGCGGCTATTGCGTTTTACAGCACTGGCATTTTGCCAGTGATTTATTTCAGCTCACTGGATGACGACATTTAACACTTGACGTTAATAAATAAATGTTTATTGATTAAAAGTTGTAGGGTAATCGAAATAATTGTCGTTGGCTCCTTTTTCTCACATCGACAAGCGAAAAGTCTCTACAGCAATTGAAAAGTTGCGTTTATTTAACAGTTTCAGATGATACTAAAGATTCCTACGTAGAAGTACAGAAGATTAAGTTTGGCGTCCGATCAGACGTCCAACACTCGCTTACATTAAAGCAGCCATCGCGGTATTCCTATTCGTGTTGACAAATATAATTGGCACATTCGCGTATGGCAAGTTCTATCGCGTTAAACTTGCATCATTACACGCGTCAAGTCTAGGCTGCAATATCGTGAAAAGAATAGCGATAGATCTTCGAGAGATGTGAGTATATTAGTGGTTCGTTGATCACGTAATACCATCTCTAAGCAATAGAATAAACTTCTTACAGGCGGTCAGACTTTTCATTCATCATAACATTTCAAGCTCAACTTTATCGCATCTTGCCGCATTCTAACCATGAAGCTGCTATCGCGTTTTAAACACCACCATCCAATGTTCGAATGAAAGAATTCAAGATGAGTGACATGTTAGCATGTTTAATTAAAAGAGAGGTAGAATTGTAAAATGAACCGCGAATTACAAATTTATTCAAGAGTGTTTGAATCATTAATGAACAATGTTAATGTTGTAATTTGTCCTCATACCTGCAGCTGAATCCAATAGCTATTTCTCGATAAGTAAGATCATACTAGAATATTTACTCTCCTTCTCGAGACGTGATTATGGTAAACGTGGAATCAGGCATTGATGGTCGTAATCCGCTCATAATATCGCATACTAAAACTCTATCGAACTGTCTATCCTGAAAGGGTGGTTCACCAGTAGCAATCAAATACATAATTATACCAAAAGATACACATCTGATTTCTGAGTAAACTTGCAATAAAAGGGTAGATCGTGAGGTACTTTATTCACAACGAGGTGCTCGCTAAAGCCTAGTTTATGTTGTTGGTGCAATAAAGGATCAAGCACCTTGAATGATTGATTGAGAAGACCCAGATCACATATGAATGGTGTTGTCTTATACCACTTCTCGTACAAAACAATATTTCCCACCATGTAAGTCGCAATGCACACTACTAAACCTATAGAATGGATATTAGACAGATAACATGCAATATCCTCCATTTTCTCCTCCACGTCAATCTGTTAACAGTAACAAGCAAAAAGATAACCACATAAACAGTATCGTTATAAATGATTCAAAACCCATCTATGGTAGTTTGCTTTATCTATTAAGCCGTGAGATAAACACATTATCGCATAAAGTGCTTGAACTAAACTATTGGACTTTCAAATATCATGATATCGCCCCATTCGTTAGAAATGGATTCAAAAATGTTACTTGCCCAATACCAACCTATACTGACGATGAACAAAATGTGTAAGACTAACATCCTCCCCACTATTCGTTAATTCCCTCACTGTCATTAATATTAAGTTGTTCGCCTAATTTTTCAACAAACATTGATACTTTTAAATTTCGAGTCGTTCAACAAATAAGCCCATTATTAACAAAATATACCGCGTCAATGCTCAATGGAAGTAGTTTATTTTCGTGTCTCCTAGGAGAAGGGAGGTGGAAATCCAGAATTTCCGGCGCTTCGAATTATTATTATACATCACGATAGTATAAACTCCCAGGATACGTATTCTATGATACCCGTAATTTCCGATCACATGATCGGAGATCATATGTGGGGCGCAGTCATGAAGACATATTATTATCACCTGCCTAGATATGAGCAACATTTTTTCCTAGCGAAAGAAATTGCTCTCACGTAAAGTAACAATGCTTCGTCGAAATCCCACGCGCATTCATTTACGACCAGAGGATGTCGAATCCGTTGAGAAACTGCGTGAACTTTATCAACAGAAGAAAACGCTTGCTAAGGGTAAACGCAAGGGCACTGAAATAGATCGAGAGATAATATCGTTGCCCACTCAAGATTCCTCGGTCAATGAACAGTCACTTTCGAACAATGACTTTACAAAGAGCGGCATGCCGTTTGACGCTCGGAAGGCTTAATAAATAATACAAGGTGGTCTTTTTTGAGACGTTTGTGAGAAAGAACCTGGCATTGAATTTCGAACTACCGTCCCTGTTATTCAGTTGATGTGGTAGGCCTGGGAGACGAATTTTCGTAAAGATGTGGGTTTACTCTTAATAGGGAAGATATATATATTTAACGATGGCAGGATTATGAATTGATTTCTTATTGTTATTATTGCTATATTGTATTGCTATTTTTTTTTAACACGAACATTTGGCCTTCAATCACTGTACAATACTGATCATCCGAGTACTCTTTTATTTAATTATTTGGAATTACAGCATCTTCGTATTTATTGACGCCCAAACCAAATCTAAATTACAAGTTTACATGACTGAATATCAGCCCAAGGTAAAGTGTATGACTAATGTCATCAAATGTTATGGTGTAAATGAAACTAATCCCCCCAAACAATCTGCATACCGTTTTTCACAACTTTTTAGAGAAGAAATATTGCATATCACCTACACAGACATCATCGCGAAACTCTCGCTCCTCCACTATGCATATTCCAATTGTCTATGACATTCATTTCTATTGCCCACCACCTCGGCCCGTCTACTCCATTCGTAACATTTCCTATCATCGCCACCCACTCGTGACATTGTCTGATCAATTTTTGCTGATAAATCTATCACATTCTTACAATGATTAAGTTGCAATGACTGCAAGTTCTCCAATTTGTATATCCAATGATGATGATACACTGTAAGAAAGTCACAGGAGTGAAATTTTAATTTCGATAATGTTCTCTTCTGGTTTATCATTGCTTTAATAATGTCCTCCAATCCGGTTGATACATTCCTCACTTCGAGCTCGCGCAGACCATTCTGAGACTTTATTAAATAGCTAACAAGTTCCGGAAGCGTAATAGGATCTGTTACAGACAGATCAACATCAACATTTATGCCAAAAAAATCCAATCGCTTTTGCTTTACTGCAAGTAGTGTCAGTATCTCTTTGAATGTCTGTGAGAATCTATACGCTTTAGGTCCGGTTGAAAATGAGCGGAGAAATTTTGCTCTTCGGATCACAGACTTTATTATTACGTTGCTAACAAGTACCGGCTCATCCTTTGGAGATATCTTTCTGTGACTATTCATGTACCATGAAGATGTGGCAAAGAGGACGTAGCTGAATTCTAAACTGGTGCAATATTCAAAGTAGTTGAATTTTGGCGGCTTCCTGCGAGGGATGCGGATGCGTTGATTGACCAAACGCTGTCTTTCATCGCGGGTAATACAGGCCAGATAAGTCGATATCAGATGAAAATGAGAGTCTGGTCCTACTATCTTGAGAGGGTTTCTGTATAGGATTGAAACAGTCATGTGTGCCCACGTCCAGTTCACCTGCATGCATCGCGAAAGAGCCTGAGGATGGTCATTGAGATGTTCCAAGATTAGTGGAAACAAGTCGATCGGGAGAGATGGGCATACACCAACCGAAAGCGGCGACGTTGGCGTCAATGGTAAAGATGTAGATGAAAATACAAACGAAGTCGGGGAAGACGCAACGGAGGATGAAGCCGTGGTTGGCATAGGGGAAGTCATGATTATATCCGGGATGGAAATAGTAACTTGAAACTTATCGACAGACTCGTGATTATGAGTCACACAGCCATCAAAAAAAAGGATGTAGGCGTAATAATCACATGATCGATTTTTATTATTATTATTATTATTATTACGTATCATCCCCATAGCTCCACTTGTAATCACCAAACATGTGGCGTGTTAAAAGACCAGTCTTATCCGACCTCTGGTTGTTCATTCCTGCTCTGAGGGCTTGGACGGTGGAGCTTCTGGCCTGTCTTAACTTAAAGCATAACCTTTATTTCACTTACTACCGGTGCAATAGTTCCCTGGATGAGAATATTAATATAAGCAAGAGAAGATTTAACTCCTCGTAAGGGCGCCTTTACTCGTTTTCAGCTTTCCTATATGTATTAATTGTAGTGGCATCTAACTTTTATATCTTTCTTTATAGAGGGCGTACGCAGCTTTTTAACGTATACACAAGAACGATATCAGACGAGAAAAATCCGACGTCGACGTGAGGGTGGTGCTTCAACCGTTATTTATTTGAACAGCTCGAGCGAGTTTACGTTTGCAGTAACCACTGATTACTCAAACTCTTCGATTGCACAATTTAGTCTGGGAAAATCGGTCTTCCAAGACCGTTCCCGCTGCAAGGAGAAGAACTTCGGTGAAATGGTCGCTTTATTATTATTTTTGTATTAGTAACAGACCATTTCATCGTGCTAGTATTACTCCAAGTCCGATTTATTTACATTTATTGAATTATTGATTATTGCGATAGTGAGAAATTAGTTATAAAAGCGAACCTTTTTCCGAGTCGAGAAAAACTTATTCGGCTTATCTTTGTTATGAAAACTTTATTAGCTTAATATTAATATTAAGTGATCCTTTATTGAAAATGATACGTTCGAACGAAAGGACAATAAATGTAAATCATAAATGGTTATTGACATTCTTCTAACAATGACATGACGATAATAACTCATTCGAAGAATACGGTTATTACTCGGTTAAGCGTGTCATGTTTCTATATGGAACGGTGTAAACGCTAAGGTAGTCGGTTTATGATACAACGGTTCACTGAAAAAACCAAGGAATGAGAGCTAAAGATGTTGTGTTAATATTATTATTCTATCAAAACGGAGCGAGTCTTGCCGTCGACTCGTAACGTAATGGTTTTCACTGTGTGTCCTTGGTGGCAAACATTTAATAATTTTTCGACACGAAAAAGGCGAAAACCGATGGTGCTAAGTGAAAGAGTGTAATGGCGACACTATAACGTTTATGTGGCGAATTACGGTCAGATTTGGTAAACCCTTTTACGAGTGCATTGCGGCAATAAAGCCATTTTAGAATATATCTTCTGAACTGACTGTCAATATTACCGTGTTTGTGTGTATATTCTGGCAAACTCACAGATATCGGTGTACATTCTTTATTGTTTCCAAGGAATGCTATCATTATCTTCTTCCTCCTATCATAATTCGTGTAGCGCAGTAGACGCTGTCAATTTGAGTTGGCTAATTTCCTCATGAGGAATCCATTCATGTCTTAAGTTTTATTTTCACTTTCCAAAGGAAGATTGTTAATTGCTGGATTAATAACAGTCCTTGAGCGAATGACATAGTTTCAAATACAATCAGAGAGCGTGCTAATCTTTGTTACATCACATGACGGTACACCGTAATAATAAAATTGTACATTACTATTATGATGTGCTATATACTGTATACCTTGTAGAACCACTAGATTATGCTCTTTCATCAATCAAAAAGACCAACTTCACAGGTTTTCCTTCTGTTCCTGCAAATATTGAGGGTGAGAGAAATAATTGATCTCGATATGTGGTAAGCCAAGAATTAACCCGTCTGCGGTTTAGGCTAGTATCAATTCCATACTAACGCCGGTGTTAATTATTTACGATAATCGGACACTGATTTTGTTGACCAATCAGTACGACGTGAGCGCGTTGTTAAGCGCGTAAAACGCTCAGATTTTAGTTAATTGTCTTTCCTCATACGCCCCGTTAATCCAACATCCGGTTTCTTGTTTTCACACAGAGGTTGGCAATATGGCTTGTACTGAGAACCCAAGTCAACTAGCAAATACAGTAGTGGAATGTTCCAGGTATGACTAGTAAAATAAATAATTAGCATCGAATGGCTCGGCTCAAAGACAATCTCCTCTGTTAAGCAATATTCCTAAAGTAAAAAGAACTTATGGTAAACGCAAGTTGATGTCAAGCGAGAATTACGCACAATTGAATACTGATAAAAAGATGAGACAATCAAGCAATCGCTCTACTTTGCATCCTATCGAAAGTAATATTAAAAAGAAATACGTACAATTGTTCCTTGATGCTGGACAGAATAACGTTGGTCCAATTACTTGTAAGGTGTGTCATATGTCCTACAACAAAGGAACGGAAGATGATCTCGTTCATGCAAAATTTCATAAAGCTAGTGTTGGAGGCATTGATTATCCGGTGAGTTGCGTGATGGTGCAAAATGAGACACGAGATATTGGAAGGCTAACGTATACATCATATAATAGGGATACAAGAGTGAAGTTATGCTGCAAGTTTATCCTGAAGATAATGGTAGTCGCGTTGTCATGTTTAGCAATAATAAGTACAGCGGATTCGAGAAGCGTAAGGTAAGCCCATCTCAGACTACGTGCTTTGGATACGTATCACAGCATAGCAATTGCCGTGGTCACCGACATGTTTTTCTTTTCAATCTATACAAGCTGTTTGAAATATTAGAAATTGTTACTAGAGAATTAGGGTCAGTTGAAATACGCGAAGATAAGCTACTTTCGTCCAAGATATTTCTCTATGTCACCAGCAGGAAAAAAGTCGTTGGATGCGTTATAGCCGAACACATCAAACAAGCATACAGAGCCACGCGTAATACGGCGAGTAGTCACGCTGAGGAACAGCCTGGAGAGTTTGACGATGCGTCTGTTGTCTTCTACAGGTGAATGATATATATTCAATGATCCCGAGTATGAAACGACGTGTCGTTAACCAAAATATTTTAATGGCAGGACGGAACCAATACGAGCAGTCTGTGGTATCAGCCGCATATGGGTCTCCCGACAGTATCGTCGTAAAGGAATAGCAACAAAGCTATTGGATCTTGTCAGGTTGTCTTTTGTAAATGTCTATCACATCGAAAAGAGACATCCCGTGTGGGTACTGACAATTTCCAATATTTCTTATGTAGAAAAAATTATATTTATGGATGTTGTCTTGGTCGATTGGCAATTGCATTCTCGCAACCGACAGGTGATGGGAAAGCGCTAGCCACTAATTATACTGGCACTAGTGAATTCCTTGTATATACGGAAGAAGTATGAGATGAGAGTAATATGAGAAGTAATATGAGAAGCAATATGAGATGTAATATGAAATAATATTTTCGTTCTTTATTACCAAGTCAATTTGTCACAACAATGTGATACAACGCGCGCATACACAACATATACAAATAATGATGCCTCATGCCCGCTATATTCAATTTTCAAGCTATTCACGCTTATTCGAGGGATACGTAAAGTCATCCAAATTAATAAAGTTTTCCTTGATTGATCGCATAGATACAAACCGATACAGCTAATTTTACGCACGGAATGACGGTTAATTGATATAGTTTAAACATAACAAACGTGAATCCCAAATATTCGAACATCGGTTGCAAACTCACCAAAGCACGGCTTCCCGCCTTATCGTTTGTTCCGGATGCACGCCCTCCGCCAAAAGGTTGCTGTCCTACAACGGCGCCAGTACATTTGTCGTTTATGTAAAAGTTACCGGCTGAGTAACGTAGTTTGGAATCAGCGAGCAAAATTGCTGATCGATCTTGTGCAAATCTGGAGGGAACAGAATAAATTCGCGTATCAGCGAGTGGCTCGAACGCGAAAAATCAATAGTAGACAAAAAAGTGGATATTTACATCGATCCCGTCAAAGCATAAGAAGACGTCTCGTTCACAAGATCGAGTGTTTGCGCATATTCACTGGCTTTGTAACTGATGGGAGGATGATAAACCGTTAGCTTCTTGCAGTGATTAACAAAGAGTATATAAACGCATACGCATTTTCTTGGAAACTTACATATATATTGTCAGAATGGGTCTACATGAACCGCAAAAGAATAAAGTGTCAATAGCAATCAAATACGCGACATATCAAGGTATGATTGATAAATTATCGTGATAAAATCTCACCCAAATATTTCCTCACACATCGTCTTACTCTTGGGGTTCTTTGTAACAATAATGGTTGGATGTATAAAGTAACCGACAGAATCATCACATTTTCCACCAGCAATGATTTCGCTCTCATCATCCGCGTTTGCCCAATCAATATAACTTTTGATTTTAGCAAACGCGTTCTTGTGACTACATAATGGAGAGCACGTAGAGAGATTAAGTATCGGTCCCAAATGTTGCAGAATATCAACGCATGTCCTTACATGACAGGTCCCATGAAACTTAAGAAATCAACGCCTAAAACGACGAATTATAACGCTTAGTAAGACAAAACACCGGCAACAACGTTGTTTTTAATTTACTAGAACACGAACCAATGTCAATCTTTTTGTGCTCCTGCAACAATAAATCCTTAAACGATTTCCAAACAGTATCAGGCACGTATAGCCTAGAGCATGCCGAACATTTTTGACCCTGATACTCAAAAGCCGCCCTCAAAGTCTGCATAACCGCGTTTCTCAAATTAGCACTCTCGTGAATCATGTGAAAGTTTTTTCCACCAGTCTCGCCCACAATTCTCGGGTAGGATCTGTATACGTCCAAATGCAAATTCTCCCCAATCGTATGCCATATTTGTTTAAATACGGCTGTTGACCCGGTAAAATGCAAAGCGGCGAAATGTGGTGAAGACAGCACGGTTTTGGTCATATCTGCAGCAGGGCCCGGGACGAATTGTATGACGCCTGCTGGAAGACCTGCCTCAACAAGTATCTCATAAATCAAATAATTAGAATAAACCGCATAGGATGACGGTTTCCATAGTACAACGTTTCCCATTATTGCAGGCGCGCACGGGAGATTTGACCCAATGGCCGTGAAGTTGAAGGGCGCTACTGCGTAAACAAATCCTTCCAATGGGCGGTATTCTACTCGGTTCCATACGCCCGTAGAATGCTTGGGCGGTTGTTCGGCGTATATTTCCTGGGCATACGTGGCGTTGAATCGTAAAAAGTCGGTTACTTCGGCGATAGCATCAATCTCGGCTTGCCTGCGATGAAGCGAGGAGAAAAAAGGGGGGATGATCGAGAATAAATGAGGGTGAATGGGGATAAATGGAGTGAATGGGTGAACAAATAAAATGGTGTAACATTACTATAGAATTAATTATTGTCATTCTAACAATGATCAATTTACCAGATATTCTTTCCCTGTCCCAACATAGTACTAGCCAACATTTCGTATCTATATTTTCCCGATATCAACTCGGCAGCTTTAAGAAAAATCGCACATCGGTCAGTGAACGGCATGGCTTCCCAAGAAAGTTTTGCCTTCAATGCGCCTTCGATCGCTTTTTCAATTGTTGCAGTATCCGCTAGTTGATACTCTGCGACAACTTTTTTGTGATCCGATGGATTATATTGTTTGGCGGTGGAGAGGCCAGTTATCTACGTGTGGATTTATCAGAGCTTAATAATATAGTAGGTATTTTGACACCGACAAAAATTTGGGAATTTTACCTTTTCGCCATTAACCACTACGGGAATAGCCTCTGTCTTGTCGGAAAGTCTTGCCAAGGTTGCTTCAAGTGCACTGCGCTCCGGACTACCGGGAGCATATGCGCTCTAGCGTAAATTTAAATTTCAGTTTACAAACATTTTTTAATCACAAAAACACTAGAACGAAAGAGATTCTGTAGTGTTGCAATAAATCGCTTACCAGTTTCTCGTTCTCAACTTTGGGTAAACTGAATGTGCCAAGTGTTGCAGACATGATTAGGCGGGCAAGGGGGTTATGGGGGGGGGGGAGAAAGGGAGAGGGGGTAATTATACCTTGGAATTTTTTTTTGCTGATCGTCAAAACGAAATTCCCCAGAATATTCGCACGCTTGTTAAACTTTAGGGGGTATGCTGTTGATCAACATGGGAATTTGGTGTGGGAGATTCCCGATTGGCCAGTCTTGGGCTAACCCCTGCGATTTTGCTCTCGTAAATTCCGCAAGCAGAAAGTAATGCAGCATAATCTTGATTGCATTTTTTGGGACATGATTCATATCAACAACAATGGAGATCTGCTGATCGTAACTAGAAGTATCCATAATGGGAAACATAATAAGCGGAGGGATTTGACGAATTCATTATATTACCGCATGTAGCAATGACATCTTGATTGTATCAAGGGTTACATCTGATAACAGAATGATCGTAAGTGTAGGCCGCGTGATAATCGATAAAGAGCACCAATACAGTCATTGTTCTTCAAACAAGCTTATTATTACGAAAGTCCGGCTCATCATCCAACCGCTTGACGCAGACTATTCGTTAAGGCGGTTCCAAAAAAAAACTTCGTTATAAAATCCATCTTTGTTAATAGGACTTTACTATGTATTACGTTTGACGGTACAACATGTCAACTAAAACCCTACATTTGCCACAACGAATGTACAATATATGTGTTGATGCAGTCTTTTATGTAACCGTCGAATAAACTCTTTCCCTTTGCTTATAGCCCCTGCAATGACTTGACTAAATACAAATCGTGCTAGTCCACATTCGTCTTGTATACTAGCGGCACCATTTCCCCCCGAATTAATCAAATAAGAAAAGTATTAAAGGTGGTAAACCCCGAAAGTCTGACGGATGAGCCCGCAAATCAGTCTAATAAAAAACTAGAGACACAGCTTCTAACCGTTGTGCTGCAAACCATCAATACTGCAGTTCTATGAGAGCTCGATGAGTACCAAACAATTTAGTATTTTTGGTCCATATCATTTAGCTTATCGCAATTATAACTTATAAATAGTAATACCGTGCTTTCTCCCACAATTTTTTTTTTCACAAAGCCGACACATTGTACACACGTTCGCAATAATTGTAATATCATTCCAAGTTGTGTGACGGAACCTAATTCTTGGAAACGAATAAGTTAATATTTCATACTAACTCGTATATAGAGGGTAAATAGTATGGGTAATCTGATACGTGTGATATTTATCCACTATCTATCCGCGATTTATCCATGCCTTGACAAACGAGAATTTTGAAATAATTATAATATAAATTACAAATCTTGAAGGTGAAATTTATCTTGCTGGTATTCAATCTTATTATCTTTATTTGGAGCGATGCAACTTGACAAATGCTGCACGTATGGCATATTCGAACACTTCACTCTGGTCTTAGCTGAGTGCTCAACTTGATTAATTTACCGTGAAATAAGCTGGTCCCTCACATGATATATGCAGTTCGTGGTTATGTAATAAACAAGAGATAACGTGACAATCATTACGTGACAATTCGTAGATCATCCCTTCCCTTATTATTATTCACGGATTCTAAATAACGGGTGCGACATGGTTGCCGTCGAGTCTGGTTCCGTTATAGGCATGTTTGACAATAATACATTAAATTAATCAAACACGTATTCAAACGATATGCTCACTTATCCAGGAAAAAGAAGTTGCACTTTGCTTTTCTTTAATTTTTTGTTGAAACGTCATATTCCATTTTTTTTCCTGGTGATCCGCTGAATTACGTGAACGTTCTAGCAATTAGCAATTTACAAATCATAAACCAAAACAATGAAGAGCTTTTATAATACACAATTGTCAAGGAGCCAATGGAGAAGACAGTTTACACAAACTACGTGCCATCTCTCAACGATGGTCGATTAATAAACTCGTAGAATTTTCACTTTGTGTCACCCAGTAGATTACCAATCAGGTGTTACAAATGACGACATAGTTTACTAATCGAAAATAATTACTAAAATGCCGGAAATTAGTCACACAGGAGATGGTATAAATACAGATGCAACGGCAAGTCGCTATACATCCAGCGATCCGAATTTTCAGACACTTTTCAATCAAACTGAGATCAAATAATTCAAATCCAATGCCAGGAAAAATCGTCATTCGTCCATCGGGAGAACGCGGTCATGCCAATCACGGGTGGCTCGACACGCATCATACATTCTCATTCGCATCGTATTACGATCATCAATATGATGGATTTGGGAGATTACGAGTTCTGAATGAAGATATCGTCCAACCAAAGACTGGATTCGGAACGCATCCGCACAGAGAATACGAAATATTTTCGTACATTATTAGTGGAGAATTAGAGCATCGAGATTGTAAGTATTAGTAATTTGGGAATTGTGCTCTGTCAAGCAGTTTATTATTATCATTGTACTGACCCAAACCGTTCTTACGTGATACAACAATCTAGCAATGGGCAACGTAGAGATCTTAAAGCGTGGCGACCTACAACTAACGGTAGCCGGCACTGGCATTACTCATTCCGAATATAATCAAAACCCGTCACTTCCCGTCCATTTCTTGCAAATCTGGGTGAAACCCGATAACCCTAGACTGACACCGGAATATCACACCAAGAATTTTTCCGATAAGCAGAAACTGAATTCTGTTCTCCACATAATTTCGCCTGTTGACTCACTTGACGAAAATACCATTGGCATCCATTCAGATTTTCATTTTTACGCGAGTCTGCTTGAACCTGAACAGTCGGTTGTTTATAAAGCTAACGGTGAACAAGATGACGAGAGAAAGATCTATATACACAACACAGGAACGGGAGGTGTAATTAAAGTCAACGAAGAGACGGTATTGAACGAAGGCGATGGTGCTTTTGTGACCGAGATTAAAGGAAGTGAAGAGCTAGTATTCGAGAGCGTTGGGGATAAGACGGCTGAGTTTGTAATTATTGATCTTGCTTAGAGAGAAGCCCCATTTGTTAATGATTAAATAATAGCTGAGCCATTTGCCTTAACTTATATATAATAATAAATCGATCAACAGAATATTTAAATAAATTTAATGGGTCCTGGGTTCCAATTGCATATAGTGGTAATATTCAACGAATCATTCCCACTTCTGTGATAGCGCTAATTGAATTACAAGACGCGTAAGGCATGCGACAATTGTTCGAAAAGCTTCTATCTAACGTCATCATGAGTATAATCACATCGAAAACAAATCAATAAAACTTTGATATGTTTACGTCGTCATTCTTATCTTCTTTTGAAATCCCACTCCGCTTGACCAAATACCTCGTTTATCACCATATTTATCACTCCTATATGCTCCTACAAATACCCGCCGCCTTCGACTCAGATACGTGTAAACTCACCCCTTCCCCTCTCTCCCCGACAAGCAAGGACGGATTGGAAAGCGGTATAACCAATTATAACAAACTCCTCCGTGAGACGGATATTTAGACCATTCGCCGGAACGGAATCAAACAACTAAAAGGAATACCATAGGAATATATTTATTTTCCGATTTGACAGACCGAGCCCGTATCATCACGTCTTTATCATGGAAGACGCAACACACGACCAACAACAGACTTTTCTTCCGTCTATAAATTCTACTTTACATACTCCCCAATTAAATCAATTTCCATCAGCTGCTTTTCTCGTTCAAGCACAACCGACTCGTCAACCACCCATTTCCTCTCCTCAATCAAAGTATGCAGCCGTTTATCCGCAGATCGGATTAAATATCCCTCAAACGCAGTATGTAGCAACTGGATGTGGGAATGATGTCAAGCCAAAGAGAAAACAGGTTAAAAATGCTTGTGGTATGTACGGTGTGTGACAGGCGAAACACGATCTACTAATCCTAAATAGGAAATATAAAATTTCTATTTCGACAGTCAATTGTCAAAAAGCATGCAAGAAATGTGATGAAGGTCGTCCATGTCAAAGGTGTATCAAATTTAATTTGACCCTGACATGTAAAGATTCCGTTCGTAAAGAACGTAAGAAAGGCATTAAGCGTGGGCCGTATCGTAAACGAAGTGATACAACCGTGAAAGGCGAGTTACAACAATTCTAGTCAAATTTCATTTATCTCCCGGTGTTTTAATTAGAATTAATTTCTTTTCATCCAGCTGAGGAAACTGTTTCGAATACAAACCCTTCTTCAGATGGAGTTTCTCAACCTCAATTCATTACTCCTCCGGGATATGTTCCGGTACCAGTCTCTACGATGAACGGAGCTAGTGATAGTAATATTAATCCGGTATTCTATTTGCCGCAAGGACAATCACTTCCGCAGGGCATTACTACTCCTATCATGTTCCTTCCTCCACCTTTAATACAACCTCAACAGCAGCAACAGATAGCGCAACATGTGCAGCAACTGCAGCCACAGCTTTTAAATCATGCTCTCTTGGGCAAACAAGCACAAGTCCCAGCTCCATTATTTCTCGTTAACAGCACGACCAATCCACTACATCTCACTTCCCACCCGTTGTCTGCTTCGTCCTCTTATCTTTACCATCCGCTTGCAACGCGTCTGACATCACCATATCCGGCAGAAGACCAATCACCTGATTCTCATCAACAGACAAGTGTGAGCGCTACTCGAAAGTATTCGGCGAATAATGAACGCATTTATAACATCGGCAATGATGGTAGCAAGAAAAACGTAGAGGGTGTTACTAACGGTAGTAATAATAAGGAATTGGGTTTGAACTACTTATCCCAAGTTTGCAGTGATTTGATCAGTCATGAAGATATAGACAAGGAGAAAACGCGTAAACGCAAGGAGAATGAGAACGAAACAGGGAAACGCGCGGGAAAAGTCGGTCCGAAAGAAGAGGAACTTGTTACAGAGGAAATGGATACAGGGACCGCTGATTTCGAGCGCGAGAGGGGTTGCAATATGGTAACGGCTAATAATGAGAGTTACGTGAAAAATGAGGTTAACAAAAGCAATAGTGAGTGCGGCTATTACAATACCGACAGCACCAGTACTACCATCAATGACAAGATAATCACGTCAGAAAATATGCCTTTACCATCAAGTAGTAGACAACCTACTTGTTCCATGGTCAAGCGTCAAGATAAAGAGGCTCAGTCCACATCCAACGTTCTCAGTACTAATTCGCCCAGTTCACAACGCGCTCAGTTCACAAATACTCAAACTAGCTTACAAAACCACCAACTCCAGCTTCTGCGTCAGAACATTATGCCAACAACGTCAGCCTCAACCCAGTCAAATGTTAATAGTACATCCGCCGACATTCAGGCGTACATGCCTTCGCTGACGACAGTCCCACAACAGTTTGTTCCCGAGCGATATACTGATAATCTACTATTTGTGCAATCTACTCAAATTGGAAGACCCGGACTTGTTAATGCACATGGACAATACGTTCAACAGATACGCTCAACCCCTACGCAAACACCAATTTATCTTCACCACCCTTCTACCACGACTTCTAATTTATACGCCTCGTCTTGTACTAATTCATCTTACGCTCAATCTGACAATTATCAGCAAACGAAACATCGCGACCCAACAATCGATCCAATGTTATATGAAACTCATCCCAACATGCACTTGGATCATGTCCACATCCAAACGCAGTCCAGTACGTCAAAACGGTCTGATGACGAATCCTGTACGATTCAAACCATCAACCCCGAAACGCAACCAACTCGAATGCAATATCCAAACCAGTTACATTGTCGTACGGTTTGTCAGAATGCGTGTGGAGGTACAAAAATGGGCACTAACAATGATCATGAAAAGCCTACCGAAAAAGATGTTAAAAACGATACAGATGCTTATGATGAAGATACGCTCGTCAACAAAGACGATTTGGGAATGGTAAACGTAAAGCGGGACCAAACCGAACTGATGCCGAAGAAGAAAAGTGGAGAGGGACAGGTTGATAATGGCAGATGAGACTCGTGATGTCAACGCAAAGAGCAAACAAGAAAAGCTTGGTAGAAATTGGAGATTGTGCCGGTTCGATAACAATGAAGAGTAAAATGTATTTCTACAAGGCGTTTGACTTTCTGAGAATAACTAGGCGGTATTTTGAGAAATCGTAAGGGAATCTGTATGCATGTATGATATGTATATTAATAGTACAGCACACGCTTGAATAAAGTTCTATAAGTATAAAGACCGAGTTCTTGAATGTTAAACGTAACAAACGCAACTTCAGTTACGTAATAAGCTATGATGAACTAATAATACTAATAATGCTCAACATACTTTTCTTTCCGAACAACAGCAAAAATTAATGACTTGTTCATATTCTGCAGAACCACCATTTTTTATTAAACATTGTCTGATTTCTCGATGAGATGCCAGGAAAGAAAATCGCGAGATATCAGTATATGATGATAATGGCAATGCTTCTTGTATCCGCGATATCGAACATGTTATGAAAGCTAGTTTGTTCAGAGGTTAGGAATGGGAGAAATCAGTATTATTTTGCATGGTTCGGCACATTTGTGTATGGCAAGTTTTAATTTTATTGTTGAATGCCGTTATTTTATGTGTTAAAATACACTATGTCTCAGCTAGGCAATGTGTAACAATAGCGATTTTTACAGCTATTATAATTGTACAATGTGATTTTAAAACAATCCGTTCTTCCAAAACATTCAATAGTAAATCCTATACTAATACAAAGAAAATGCAGTAGGTGGCAATGTCCAAATTACTACCGCAAACCCTATCCCACTAATTATTGGAACGATGATAAATAACACATGTTGAAACAATCCTTCTATTATTTGGGTTCCAAAGAGAATACAAAATTGCGAAAGGACAATGTCTTGTTCAGGCTTGTACTTATTCCAGCATTTGATAATCTTGATTACCGTCGCGTCTTTGAGGAGTGGTTCCAGAGTTTGAGTCGCTAAATTATTAGACAATAAGATAATGTTAATATCGTAAATCGATTTCATTATTACCAATTGATGTTTTCATACCTGCAGCTCATAGCTATTCTCGGTTTGGAGATCTCCAATAGTAGAAATATTTACTCTCCTCGTGATGTGATAACGGTTTTATATCATTATGATAAACGACATTGCGTGCGCTACTGACGGAACTGTCATTTTCCGTCTCATTCTTAAGTTGCAAATATCATTAAATAAGTGGGACGCTTATCAGAATCAACATCACAGCACCGCTCTGCAAGTTTCTTGTGCGGTCAGGCATCAATTGTCGTAGTCCGCCACTAAGTACAGGGGGTGACAAAAGTATTGCGCAGTTGTAATTTATTTGGTTCGACAAATTTTTTATATGTAATAAAAAAACCAATTTTTTGCCTAAATGGTATCTTTATTTTGATTTAATAAAACGTGTTGTGATGACCTCAAAATAAGTTATGGAATCTACTTTCTCCCAGTTTCAAAAGTCTGAGTGGGGACGGGTATGGCGAGAAATATGATGACATCAACGGTGAAGCATTCACCCCAAAAAATGTTTTGGGCATAAAAATCACAGATGTTCCCGTCATCATCCCACACGTTTTATTAGTAAGCATAAAAATAATTAAAGGTTGCGTTGCGCAAAAGGGTTCTAATGGCTTTTAGAATTTTTTTGTAAAGAATATCACTTGAAATCTTGGGGTAAAAAGAAAAACAACGTAACGGGGAAACGCGAAATTTGTCCTCAATTCTCACAGTTTATACAATTGTGCCGTCGAACAGGCTTGAAAATATTGTCACATTGAACGTTGAATTTGTTTAAATCCGTTTACCGATGTGGTTTATGTGATTAATTAATTGCCCAATTGGTTAGTCAGGACATTGAAAGTTGTCAGTATTAGTATTAATTGCAAAATACATAGTTTTACCGTGCGCAGTAAAACGTTAAAACAATACATATCATATAGAGACTCTTAATAAACTGTCTTATGTGTGACTATACCAACAATAATTAAGAATTTGAAAGAGCATACACATAAAACTTATAAACAAGAGTTTAGGAGGTAACGTTTAATAAAGTAATGATACTCAACATGAAGATAATATGTAGGGAGTGAATGTACACTAAACATCGAGATGCTAAATAAACTTATATTATTAGATCAATTTTCGTATTGCGTGTATTTTAAATATGCAAAATATGATGTTATACTAATGGTCTATGTCCGTATTGTGAGTTAGTTATTAATGGACGTTTGCGTGTTTTTTTTAAAGCAAACTCGGCAGGCGGGTTGGAAAAAGTCGAATAATAATAATAATAATAATACGTGTAGGCTTTCTAAAACGGGCTTGACACTTACAGCATGATAAACAGCTAGTTCTTTAGTTTCGTCTTTCTCTTTAGAGAGAGAAATCTCGGCTTCTTGAAAGATCAAACCGATCAAAATGCCTAAACTGTTCCAAATGGAGGTGAGATTTAGTAGTATAACGGGTTTTAAATTTTTGGAGCGGAATTTTTTATCGTATCGGTGTAAGGAGATTGATTTGACATATCTATACTACACAAACAATTCCAGTAGCGTCATCAATTGATACAGGAACTTTATGAATATAATTGGGGTCATTTGTCTTGCCACTTTCAAAGACGAGACGTTAGTCAAAAGTTTATCAACTGCTGGAATAACTACAAGATTGAACAAGACATTGTCCTTGAACAAGCATTGGGTTTATAATGTAAGATTTATTATGGATTTTAAAATGAAGCGAGCATTTTGAACGAAGAGGTAAGTTTCGAGAGTTTCTTCGTGATGGGTTCAGACTGGAAATGTCGCCTTTATTGTTTTTTTTTCTGTATGATAAGTTGTTTCAATATCGATGTTGGATAGATTTTATACGTTTGACATTTTCTGAGGCAGAATATAAGTGTTGGTCATGTTATTTTACAGCATCGGATTGCGTTTACTGATTATAAATGTGTTACGGTTACAGATTCAACAGTTGAGTGTAGCTTGATTAATAATGTATCCTAACAATATTGCAGTTTATATTGTCTGGCTTTTCTTTTTGAAATAGCGTTGCGTTAAGTTATAGGCATATGGGGATGTAGAATTTAGTTAACGTTCTGAACTGTGTTGACATTGTTCTTAGCAATCTTAACCTTACGTTCTTACTTAAAGCCTTGAGTTTGAGTTACGGTATAACACGCCTTTAATATTGACACCTACAGAGTAGTCGTCGGTATATTTACTGTAAGCTTAGGATGAATCTATCAAGTAAGATAGAGGAAGAGGAATCGCAAGAGATGTTGGTAACGTCAAAAGCTCAGTCAAAACGCGTTACGTAATGAACACGATTATCGAATGTGACACCGACTCCAATCACTAAACTATTAATTCTTTGGGAATATTTATCTACCAGATCAAAAGAGAGCAATAATTTAATAAACACGGGTTTGCATAACAGAAAATGTACGAGCGGTATTTGCTGATGAAAAGGATTCGATTTATCATAATTACTAACACGACGCATCTGACATGGTTAATCATCCACTTATCGAGTGGGTTGACTGCTGTACATAAAACCTATAGTTTTACCCATACTATGTGCTGTTCATTATCGTAAGAACGCGTAAATCAGAATCTGTCATCATACCGACATGACGCTCTTTGGATACTCACAGATGATGAAACAGTCAAAGTCATCAACCATTTTTTGCCTCTCGATTTGGTCTCCTAGAAACCGAAGCTAGAATATGACTAATTGTATGGTTATAGCTTACAATATTTGCAAGACTAAAGACTTTTCTTAAAGGTTAAAGCTCTGAATAAATCCTTCATCTATTTTCAGTCATTTGAATATTATTTTATTCTCTTACTAAAAATAAAAACTTTGATAATAATATACGACAAATAAACTAACGTTTTGCTTACGATAATTGCAAAGATAATACAGATATAATTCGTATTAACACAATAAATTCAACAAGATAAATGTTCCTGCATAATAGACATTACCTACAATATTTACATGTCACCTCTTCTCTATTTCTCTCTATATTGTCTTGTTCCGTAATAATATTCTCTCGCACGATTCTATCTCACTCCCTCCTAAAATATCTTTACAATCCATTTTCGGCAGCATTCCTCGTATCATTCTCTCTTTTTTTTTTCAGTATACACGCCCACACACAGCTCTAATCCCGATATAACTGGTTCTTAAAGCTGATCCCACCTGCCGAAATTCGGGCTGACTCATTGACCTCCATAGTCGCGCATACGGTTGTTCGTCATCGAATGTTTCGTCGTCATCATCTATTTTCGTATGACCGCTTTCGTTGCTACTTCCGGTACTGCTTTCGCCATCACTAAACGTCTGTCCCGCACATATCCGAGATACCCAATTCACTATATCGTCCTCTTCTGTAGACGTTGCTTTATCCAGTTTTGACAATGTCGTAGGTTCCAAAAGTTCGGTTGGTGTGCATGATGAAATAATCGATGGCTCTGGAATGGCCGATGTAACCTCGAATGTGTCAAGGTCAAACACGGGGAATGCAAACTTGCGATGAAATGGTAATTGATAAGATGGGTTACGACGTCGTTGCAACGGTATAGTGTTTCTTACAAAATCGCCTGCTGATTCAAGGGCTTTTTTTGCCGAATCCAGGAAATCGAATGCCTGGAATACGTGAACCATATCTATAATAAATGTAAAAAAAGGGCGTAAATATTTGCCAAAAGGGCTGCACACATCACGCAAGAAAAACTTACCGTCATAGACTTCATATTGAACGAACGTAGTCCTAGTCTGCACTATCTTGTTAGCAAGAAGAGATATCTCATCGTGTAAGACTTCGGCGTCTCCGTATTGTATCAGTATTGGAGGGAGATTGCCCAGGTCTCCAAACAATGGAGATACGTACGGATGAGTTATTAGCGATTTACGTTTTTCGTACGGGTTGAGATACAATCTTACTGGATGGAAGAGATCATCGTCATTGGGTTTGATAAGCACATCGTATGACTGATTACGGTCCCAACTTTCACATGACATTGTTAAATCAACCCATGGCTAAAGTGAAAAGAAAATAAAACATGTATAAATAGACGATATTATCAAGATGAAAATGCTCTCTTAAATGACGGGGACAACATACCGAGAATAACATAGCACCACCAGGCAATGGCATATGATGATCGCGCAGATACTGCAGCAATGCCAGAGCTGTAACACAAAAAAATCCAATTTTAGTAAATAAAAAAAAATACGATATAACCGTTCAGAAAAAAAAAAAAAGATTGATTATTTCGGTTACCTAAACCGCCGCCTGCACCGTCTCCAGCCACCACAATATTTTGAGGTTGTATTGCAAGTCCACAAGGATCGGTCAAGTACAAGAATGCATGCACAGCGTCATGCAAACCATACGGAAAGGGATACTCTGGCGCGAGTCGATAGTTGATGGCTGAAAAACGCCGTGGGAAGAATAAGCAATTAGGCGAATTTGTTGCAGCAAGAAAAAAAAAAAAAAGAGGGCCAGAACATGATATTATCGATATAGGGTTTCTGAAAGAGCTTACCGAATACCCTCCGTTCAGTCGCTTGAGACAGTCTACAAGTCAAGTCTCTATAGGTACGAGCAGACATTGAATAATATCCACCGCCATGCAAGAACAGGATGACCTGTTCGTTTGACCACCTTGTTCCCTCATTGTCCACCATGTAATGCTTGTGACAAGCCGAGTAGTACTGCTGGTTAATCTTTCTCCACAATTCCTTTGTGACTATCCACTCTCCAGCAATCTCACGACGGCTTTTACGATCCTCACCATCCAACTGGGTGAGCACGCCCTCCAGTCCATAGGGACGCACTCTGAACGATACAGGTGTTACGATAATGTCAGATGGTATCAACGGGTTGTGAAAGTCAAGCAGTTGCCGAAATTGTTGGATGTTGACCAGATGAGCGTGATTGAATAAATTGCGCATAACGGATATTATCAACGTCAATTGGATGGGCCATGATGGTTTGCGTGGGCCAGTGACATGATGAGATAAGAAATTGGAGAGAAGGAGTTTAGCCTGAGACGTTATGAGTGATATGTGTTCCAGTATGCGCCATGTGGAGCTTGGAGGTGATTGTGTTGCCGACTTTGTTTCCTGCTCTCGCTTCAATTTATCTAGTACGTGCGACTGGAATGACTTGTAATCGTATACAGGACATGTCATTTGTTGTGTATCTTTTATAGAATTCAATTCAAAAAACGGTTTCATACAGAGTGAGTTTTGTGTTGTAGTTGTGGTACGGTTTTTTTTGTCCAGGAGAAACAGATGAAGACAATCGTGGATAGAAACGTGTCCAATTACGTGATATATATATGTTCCAAGTGAATTGTCCAACCAGTTCCAAGCATGTTTCGATTTTTTTCATTACACATGGCGTTAATGAACAAAATGAACCCATGTTTCGTTCTTAACATTTTAAAACAATAAAGCGGTTCTGATGATAACAATAACAATAACAATAACAGTAACAGTAACAGTGATAGCAACAGTAACAGTGATAGTAACAGTAACAGTGATAGCAACAGTAACAGTATAACAGTGATAGCAACAGTAACAGTATAACAGTATAACAGTATAACAGTAATAATGTAATACTAATTATAATACTACTAATAATTGATTAATCATTGATAAGATAATATTAATATACAATTGCAATATAAATCAGTATTGTATTCAACAAGCTCGTCCACTTTACGTGGAGAGTTGCACAACTGCACGATTATGTGATTTAATTGTTATTACAACCTTATGCATATAAAATGTGCCTTCGCCCCTTTTCCTATACACCCCCTCGTCACACAAGTTGAGGATTACAATTTGAGTTTAGATTGTTTGCGACAAAGAACAAAGATCATACATAACGGATGAAATTGGTACAGCTGGGAAACTTTATTATCATTTTTTATATGGAACATCAATGTACAACCATGTGTTCCCGTACTTTTCCATTGAAAACGGCTACAGTTTTGACCATATTAATGCAAATGAAATATGCGCCACAATTATACGAGTTTGCTAAAACTATAAAATTAGTCTCTTTGTTTAAGTAACGGCGACTAATAACATTGATGAACTCACTTTTATGTCATAATGTAAATAACTTGTATCTCTCTTCCCCTCTCCCCCTTCCCCCCGGTTTTTTTATTATTCCATAAAGGCTTTCACATGACACCGTCTCCACTCCCACTCACCTGATTTATTTCCTTCTGTAAAAAGATTTGGAATTTTCCTAATCGTAATTGAATTCCTTTATATACTTGTACATTTATGGTTAGCTTTAATTAAGATTCTATTCCCTTGCTTTTTTGTTTGCCAAAGGGCTCACCACGGGAGTGTGAAGAAAAAAGTGGATATTTCTAGCGGAGTATGGCAGAGTATTACGGAGTACATCCGATCACCTCGAAGATGAAGAAGTCTATTAAGAAACTGGAGATTGCCACGCGCTCGTAATAATGATGTTGTCGAAATTGGGGGGTTCCCCGTCTAATTATTATTTCATGCATATAATCTGTAGATAGATAACGATATAACAATAAAATCGATATTAGTACTTCCATAATAAGGATAGCAGAAATTAAAATCTATGCTTTGTTGGTTACACTTTAGAACTATGAATAAAATGCATATTTACGATTGATTGCAAGCAAAGCTCGGTATTAGTATCATAAATTAAATTTTAAATTTTATGATATTTTACCAGCTGTTACACTTTTAACAATTAGCGAGAAAATATAAAGACATTTTTTACAATTAAAATTGGGTCGCTAAAAACGCAATTCATAAAACTATTCTTAATGTGAGATGGTAGTACAGTAGATTTGATGAACCAGCAGAATGGGTATTTTTGTAAAGAAAAGCACCACGCCGTCATTATACTATTTCAGATGCTCATGTTTGTCGTGTTACATTCGCGCTATTTATGTCTTTATTATTGCAGTTACTTTTGTCGAATATTCGAGTACTTTCGTCATCGGGCTTTTTTTTTCTTTTTTTTTTAATATAAAATGTTTCACAAAGTTCAAATTTGCAAGATTGTAAGGGGAAAAGTTGTGGGGGTGGGTGAGAGTGTTTTCTTTCAACGATTCATTGTTGAAAAGGTCAATGTTTTTACACTGCTCAATTATGAATCGCTGCAAGTGACTATTACACGGGACTTGTGAATTATTTTGCTTGGGCATATTTTTCCCCTATTAAATGTTCTTTATATGGTATATTTAATTATTGGTCAAAAGTCACATAAGTCTCAAACTATCGCTATTTATGTGCGTATACCAAACGTTGCTTTGATTATGTAATACATTATTCATTTAACGTTGTGCTCAACTGTTTGATTGAACAATTGATGTACCATTTATAGTCTTTATGCTTCTTCATCTTCCTTTTCCGTGTAGATTGCAGCAGAACCTTTATTCGCAAACTATCAAGTTTTTATAATACAATAGTTACCCCTGGATTTGCCAGATCAACTCGGTCGAAATAAGGAATTGTCTATATCATCTCCAAGAGTCACGTATTTCTTCATCTATCGTCTGGACAGTATACTAATACTGTACATATATGACAAATCAGATTTTATTTCCCACATTAACCAACAGGTGGTTGAGTGTCAAGTGGGTTTATTCTTACTATTTAAACAAACCCCATTTGCGCTATGTCGCAATATCAAACTTTACGCAACCGTTATCATTTCGCGGTTTTAGTGGATATTTTCAACTTTGGTTGAAAGTGAGTGTTGAATTGTCTGCATACAAACCATGCGCATATTGCAGTGCTATCTCATCTCAAAGTCATGATCGTATTAACTTGGTATTACCGAATTCTAACCCTACGCAAAGTAAGTTGGTAATATTTAAACTAGCGCATTTGTTGAAAAAAAATCACTAAACCCCAATTATACTCGAGTATCAACATATTGGCCCATCCTCGTTCAAAAAAAATGTGGGGCAAGAAATAAGCTATTAGACACAAAACCCCAAACTTATGTATTCTCGATTACGTACTTGTTACACACTGCAATTAAACATCTGCCTTAAGCCACAAACATTGTTCAGCCTACACGCCCATGCGTAAAAAAAAACGTCTGGTAGCACAGTTTCATTAACACTTGTCGGTAAATAACGCACAAAGCGTGATGTGGCATTGATATATCAGAGAAGATGGAGGGAACCTCTTAATACTTTCGATCACAGTTTTACCAAATGTAGAGAGAACGACACGTGGGTTCACTGCAAGATGAGCAACACGCATCTTGATAATCTGCATTTATACAAGTTAGCGTGAGTTTATACTCGACCTTTGAATTTCAACAGTACAACAGTAGAAATGCGAAAGAAAATTTTCCTTCGACTGTAGTGTTTACTATGTAGATCACAATAATTTTAGTATAGTTTTGAACTAATCGATTTTCATAACTATAGATTAAATGCGTATGGAAATGTAGGTATCATCGCGTTTGACGGGATCGAATTGCCTAAAATTTTTACTTTAGACTCATTATGGAAAAAGGTCTACAATATCATCTGGTACAGTATTAGATCAAGAAACACTGAATAAAGTTCCACGAGCAGACTCCTTGTAACTCAGATACGAGAATTTAGGTCTTTATTAATCTTGTGCAAATTTTTATTGGATAAAAGCAAAACCGATTACTTCAAACAGAATTGTAAGAAATATACTAGTTTGGAAATTGAGAACTGCAGTCTAAAGTTTTGATAATCGAAAACGAAATCAAGTGGGTTAGAATTCGGGGTAATTATTTTGTTATTATAAAGGTGTTTTCAGAGGTGCTAAAAAAGGATCTCAATTTTATTTAATGCAAATTTGTTTAATCCGCCACAATTATTATTATAAGAAAATAGTTACGTCTTAAATATGAATCGAATTAAAATGAAACCTCCCCCCCAGATTTTGTCATTCTCGTACGAAGGAAAGTCCTGGTGAAAGGTCCCAAGTTACTATTAAGTTAGTTTTATATTTACTTGCAAAAAAAATTGCCAATGTAGGGTGGTAGGAGAAAAATTCGAACAAGAGCTAATTCACAAGTGTTGTATACAGCATCATATAGCATATCCATAACCTCAAGATATTATTACTCGCAGCGCAAATAAATTAAGAATGATCCATATTTAATATTTTTAATGTTATTATGAATACTGCGAGCTTTTAATTATAAACATATACGATAGACAAGAATGACTGTTAATGCGTATCTTAATGCAAAAAATGTAGTGAGACTTTCATCAATGGTTGAATGCATTTTTTAACGGATCGCTGATAATCAACTCTGTTCGAATTCGCCAGTACACATTTGTATCATGAATATGGAAAAACGAAAATATGTGAAGCTGTTCTTGTTTCCAAGACTAACTACAGACATTTATGTCGTTCTGAATATCTTGGCTTACACTTGACAATAACATGTTGACAGTCTTAATGATTGGTTAAGCGTAAACAAACTCTTTACCAGTTCATAAACAGAAGTATGTACTCACTATACATTCAAATAATCTACCCTCGCCAAGGCGAAATGTACGATTTTATTTCGGTATCTTTCTAAAAAACATAAATGAAATGTATCGTATTTAATTTGCTTAATTGGAAAAAGAGTAAACTTTTGAATAAATCGAGAACTACAAGTTATTCAAGAATATCTGAGCACAAAATCATTAACCATGGACGAATATGTAGATTACATAAACGAAAGCAATTGTTTATACGTAAGCGTATTAAATCTAAACCAACTCCGTTACGATTCAACTTTTTGACAAGCTGAAAGCTAAACTCGATATATTCATTAGGCAAATTAAAATCTCCTGTAAGGCTTAAAATATTTATAAGACGCGATAACAGCTGTATGTCGTTCATGATAGACGACCTTCCATGCACGTTGCCGTCGTGCACGGTCAATAAGCTCATTAATATATCTTACAAGTTCAGTTGAATCAGGGCGCTTATCAGGATCAGCATCACAACACCACTCGGCAAGTTTCTTGTATTTCTTTGGCGCGGAATCAGGCATTGATGGTCGTAGCCCGCCCATGATATCACATATTAAATCTTTATCGAATTGCCTATCTCGAAAAGGTTGTTCACCGGTAGCAATCATGTGCATGATGATGCCAAAAGAATACACATCTGATTTCTGAATAAATTTGCGAGTA